ATGGACTGGGAATATTGTATAATCCTCCCGATTTATAAAAAAGGATGCACGACAGATTGCAAAAATTATAGACCCATTAGTCTGCTATCAGTGGTCTATAAACTTTATACTTCCATACTAGAAAGGAGACTCCGACGGATTGTGGAAGGGCAGTTAGAAGCGGAACAGGCTGGTTTTCGTCCAGGCCGACAGACGCAGGATCACATCTTTGTTCTCAGAAATATTGCTGAAAAAGCTTGGGACAGAGATAAAAATCTGTATCTTGCGTTCCTTGATCTGAAGTCAGCGTTTGATGTGGTTCCAAGAAAAGAAATTTGGAATGCCCTAATAGCCAAGGGTGTACCTGGAGACTTGCTGGCGGCCATACAGTCAGCCTATCAAGGAGCCATGGCAGTGGTAAGGATGAACGGTATGGAATCGGAACCTTTTCCAATTGCGAGAGGAGTTAGACAGGGAGATAGCTTAAGTCCCCTTCTATTTATAAATGTAATGGATGAAATCCACAAAATTTGTAAACGCCGAACTGCGTGGACAACAATTGGGAAGTGGAATCTGAGAACTGTCCTCATACAAAGCCTTCTATACGCGGATGACATAGTCCTAATAGCCGACACAAAGACCAAACTACAACAAGCTTTGGTAGAGTGGGAGGAAGAGTTGCTCAGGAAAGGGATGCAAATTAACACCTCCAAGAGTAAAGTGCTGGTTATGACGAGGGAAGAGCGAGAAGATGTTCAGCTGATCTGCAATGGCGAGACACTTGAGGTGGTGACTGAATATACCTACCTGGGGACCGTAATTAGTAGTTCTGGTAAGATAGACGCCGAAATATCAAGTAGAATATGTAAGGCGAATCAGGTATATTACCAGACTACTAATAGCATTATCGGCCATCGCGAAGTAGACAAGAAGACCAAAATGCACGTATATAAGTCTGTTTACCTACCTACACTCACCTACGGCGGAGAAAGCTGGACAATGCTAGACAGGCACTCTAGTCGCATAACGGCAGCAGAAATGAGGTTCCTTCGCAGATCTGTTGGCAGAACTAGAAGGGATCGCATTAGGAATGAAAGCATTAGAGAGCAGCTAGGAGTTGCCGAACTTAAAACTACTTTAGAAAGACGGCAACTCCAGTGGTTTGGACACGTCTGCCGCATGAATGAGAATTTGAATCCTATAAGGATATTAGAGGCTCGACCCACAGGAAGGAGACCACGCGGACGCCCCAGACTCACGTTCCAGGATTACATTCAAAGGATTGGATGTAAAAGAGGCAAAACCCTTAATGAGATGAAGCGACTAAGCAGGGACCGGGAAGAGTGGCTGCACTGGTTGAGGCTCCTCGACGCTAATTAATGGCATAAGAGGAAGACAAAGAAGAAGAAGAAGAAGAACACCTACAGTACTGCAAACATACCCTAATGATGACACACATGCTTGGGTTCGTAGGCTACAATACAATAAACATCTACAATAAACATACAACAATAAAAATCTAAAAATGACATAAAAACGATTTAAATTTAAAGATGGCTACGTATTATTTCCTGTTCATTATATTAATAATAATAATAAGAAAAAACTGTATCATTTTAACCCATGGAAGCTCTTCTTGCATTCAATATTTCATACTTTGCGAAAATGGTAGGACATTGAGTATGCCACGCAGGACTGGATACACCTTGTATTTTCTATCAATAAATAATTTCTTTTTTCATTTTCTTTTTGTTTATTTGATGTCGAATCTCAACAAACATTAATCCAAATAATGGGTGATGAATATTCAGGACGGAGTCTTTTTAATTTTTTTTATTTTTGCCAACGTTTCAATCCAAACATGTGGTTCATCTTCAGGGCGTGGTTTGAGCACTGAAGGTGTTCTAGTACTCAAACTCAAGGGTGTTTTGAATACTTGAACACCCTCAGTGCTCAAACCACGCCCTGAAGATGACCCACATGTTTTGGTTGAAACGTTGCCAAATTTTTTTTTTTTTTAAAAAGACTGCACCTTGAATATTTATCACCCATGATATGTAGAACAGCCGACGAACTTCCTTCAAGAATTAATCCAAATAAATTATTTTATACTCAATTAATTAATAGAAACAATTAATGCAATAATACTCTAAAAATAGCTACTCGCCGTAAACGTTTAATAGAATAAAGAATCGTTATCTTTAATCAGAGCCCCTTGCAACACCCCATTAATTGTTTATGATAATTAGAAGATAATCAGTGAAGATTGTAGAGTAGCCCATGAGGTGAAATTTAACGCACTGACTTTAGAAAACTTATAATTATTAAAGTCAGAATTTATTTAGGACTTAGTCACTTTTTGAAACACCGAGTAAAGGTCTTTGCGTGCGTGATAAAAATACACGCCAATTTTCCGGCCCATGAAAGGTTTTAATTAATTTTCTGTGCTACAATGGGTCAATTGACTGGTGTGGAGATTGTTTGAAGATACGAAATCAATGTAAATCAAGATTTAATTAATGTTCTTCACATGAGATATAATTAAATATATATAACTGAAATTTAGTTGATTATATTTAGAAACTGTTGAATAGTTGAATAGCTCTTCCTGATTTATATTTATACCAATAATAATGTTAAATTGTAATTTAGAATTAGTAATAATAGAAACTCGAACTATTCGGAAGTTTTTTTTAAATTAAAAGGATTTTATTCACAATAAACCGGGAACGAAATCATATTTACATCATGTTCGTATAAGTAAGAAAATTTAATTAATTAATTTAACATCATTTTTTTACTTACGTTAAATTTGATTTTATTCCATATCCTATTATATTTTTAAAAATATAAACTTAATTACTTAATTGAATGAATATTGTAAATATTGTATGAAAGCATGTGTGTATTTAAGTAGTTGTTTTGATTAGTTTAGTTTATATATATTTACTTTTAGCATTATTATATTGTTGTTTATTTATTTTTATTTATTGTTCATAGTATGAATGAGCTACTCTTTATCACTATTAATAATATCCTTAAATGTGACAGATTGTAATATATCTCAATAAAGAAACTTCCTAACAAATAAAAAAAAATTAGTAAATACAACTAATACTCAAAAATCGTACACAATAGCTTGCTACGGACTAGAAATAATTTTTTTTTATACTATCCTTTGTTTACATTAGCTTGTATGTGAATTATACACAAAAAAAAAAAAAAAAAAGAAATTGTTCGTCTGTTATTAATATCAAGAATTATTAATTTAACTGATTTATATAATCGTCCAAACCCTGGCCATACTATTCCGAATAAATGGAGTTCAACTGTAGTAATAAATTTCTCAAGTAGAGCCACTGCTATTAGTTATATTATAAATGGTTTGTCTTGAAGAAGAGAGCACAATATGAACATTTTCATTTTTTTTTTCGCTTGAAAGCCTTCTAATCACTTATCTAATCATTTATTATATATAGGTATTTCTCTATTATTTGCATATATTGCTTGAATGAGAACGTTTAGACCTAATACTTATAGCCCTCCAAAAGTGGTTGAGTGTATTATTATTCGATAAATAAAAATATAAAAAAGAAATATTTACCGAAATATATATATTTATTTAATTTTCTTAATGAAAAACTGTCATAATATCATTCCACGATTCATATATAAATGATAAAAAAATTAAGATTAACGTTCTTTTTTAAACAAAAAAAGTGAACATTATTGATTAAGAAAATGTCCAATTTTATTCTTTAAAGTGAGGAGTTAGGGGCAGAGGTAATTCTGAATATGCTAACTTCAAATACTTCTCTTTTAAAATTACACTTGTTCGTATCGTGGAACTGTATTATTATTCAATAAATAAATTTTTTAAAATTAAACAAAGAAATATTTACCGAAATATATATATTTATTTAATTTTTTTAATGAAAAGCTGTTATAATATCATTCCACTATTCATATATAAATGATAAAAAAATTAAGATTAACATTATTTATAAAAAAAAACAAGGAAACACTATTGATTATGAAAATGTAAAATTTTATGCTTTAAAGTGAGGAGTTAGGGGCAGCGGTAATTCTGGATATGTAAACTTCAAATACTTCTCTTATAAAATTACACTTGTTCGTATTGTGGAACTCTTCTTTCACGCTAACCATTTATGTCTCGAAACTGCCAAATTTTTGGCAGGTATTCGGCCGAAAATGTATCGCAAACGTCAATAACTCCCAGCATTTTACATATTCAATGACAGTATGTTGTAATATTTGAACTGTCGCGACAGTCCGGTTAACTATCGAAAAACAAACAAATAAAAAATAAGAAGAAAAGGGGGGAACATAGAGCTACAGGAGTGAAATTGAATTGTGGAAAAGCGTTCCTACCTTATCAGGACTTTTCTCAGTCACTGCTCCCTGAATAAAACTTGAGAGTCATTTCCATGAACCCTTCATTGCACCCCCTCCCCCCCTTCCTCTCTGGCGTAGTTAAAGAGATATAGAAGTTTTCAGATGGACCCCACAGGTAGCAAAATGATCAGATAAGTCTATCGGTTTCCCTAATACCTTGGTCGCCCCTTTATGGAACCTCTACAACCGTCAAACGGTTGAGAATGGTGCATAAACCCGCATAAATTAATTTCATTCCCTAAGTAAGATTCCTTTTTACGACGGAGGCCGGAGGGTTAGTAACGAACTTTAATTATTTTAATCAACTCGGCGTCACAACGGCCCAAAATTAAGATAAACAAGAGAAGCCAACGATAAAATAAACGAAGAGAAGAAAAATAAATTTGAACGAAATTTAAACAAGGAAATACTTATACACCCATCATCAAATCAACCGACTTAGTGGAGACTCGAGATTCTGAAGTATTAACTATAAACAGACATTACAAAAAAAAAACATTAAAAAATAATAAGTATAAAAATTACTCTACAGACAAGATAGGAAAACTTTAAAATGATTTTGATTTAAAATGATTGACTTAAAATTGAAGAAGGCATTAGGTATGATGAAGCATGAGATTCATACTTCTAACAAAAACACCTGGGCTAGGAAGATTGAAGACCTTAACTTGGACAGGAGCGGCGAAAAGCTTTGGAAATTTGCAAAATCATTTGGAGTAGACCACTCTGATCATCACCCACTTACTATTGAAAAAAAAAATGGCAAGCTGCTGTCTGGGAAACCTACTGCTGACCTTCTAATGAAGCACTTGAGTGGAATTGGAAACTTGCAGATCCATCCAAGAAAACTAACTGTACTGGAGGAAAGTAATGAATTGCAAACCAAGAGGCAGTGTACTGGATGCTCCTTTCAATGAAACCGAGTTAACAAATGCAATTATCACCCTAAGCTACCCAGGTCCTGATGGTGTTATAAATTAACTCATAATAAACCTCGGAACTAAAGCAAAAAAAAAAAAAAAAAGAAAACGCTTGCTGAAGCTATTTACTACAAGCTAAAAAGAGCCATAATACGCAATACTTGGAAAGAAGGGGCTGTGATTCCACCCCCATCGCAATACAAGTGGGGTTCCGAAAATTCAGGTCCAAGTTGTGTAGCACAGGAAATTGAAGACGAATTTAAAGAGCAAGAGCACACTATAGCACTATAGCTGTATGGGTGGACATGGACCATTTGACAAGATATGGATAGAAGGTCTAATCTTGAAGGCTGCAAACATGGGTATAACAGGGAAGACCTTGATATGGCTCAAAACACATCTCCAGCAAAGAAAAGCTAAGGTTCAATCCAGCTGTTCAAAAAGTAGAGTCCACCCAACAAAGAATGGGGTCCAACAAGGAAGTGTTCTTTCACTAAGTCCTTTTTTGATCTATATAAATGACATTAAAGGAGAAATGACTAAAAATCCACCTCGATAATAGCTGAAAATATATGATCCAAGCATCATTGAATGGACTTTTTTCAAGAACAGAGAAATGGGCTCTATAAGGAAACACTAATAAGACCTACTACAGGATATTGTCTGCAAATATCCTGGATACTCTTAATTTGGAATTGGGCAACCAAAACCTCACCAAGGATCACCTCCCAATCTATACAGGAGTAAAATTTGACAAAAGGCTCATTTGGAAAACTCATAGACACATGTGTTGTTAAAGCAGTATACCGAACAGCACTACTGAGAAAGCTGGCTGGGTCAAATTGGGGAGCCGATCACATTACTCTCAAAACCCAATACACTGGATACACAAGATTTGTGATAGAATATGGAATTGCAAGATGGAGAATGGAAGCACTCTCATCCCCAGCACACACATATTTCAATGTTTGTGGATTTATATATATATATATATATATATATATATATATATATATGATAATAAATACTGATATTTTTCATTATGATTTCTATGTCCCTATCCCTTAGTAAAAGTCAAAATATAAGGTGGATAAGAATTTTAACTTTTTAAGACGGTAATGTCACATTACGGGAAATGATTCAATGCAGTGGTGGAAGACGTTCTGAAGGAACAACTACCTCATAGCAGGATTTCTATAAGTAATATTTTTTTATTTATTTTCGTATTAATATAGAGCAAATGATCTATCACAGCTTTAAGATTACTAAGCCATTTTTCATATTTCATTTTGTGCTTTTCTTCAAATCCCTCATGATCAAGATTTTGGTGCTGAAGACTGGAATCCGATCAGAAATTAAGGAAAAACAAATACGTATCAACAATTACACTTGTAAAATATTTAAATATGATAATAGAATTCTATTGAGATCATTTCTAATAGATTTACTCACAAACTAACCGGTTTTCTTGAGGTAACAGCTAATTTTTCATAAAACACCTTACCTAAAACAAAAAAAATAAAAATATTACAATATGCCAATTGTGTGATATGAGGAATAGTGATTAAAATTTATACACGAAGACTAAAAAAATATATATAAAAATAAAATAGTATAAAAAAAATGAAACTTTTTTTTCCAATATGTTTCTAAAAAAAAATATATCAAATTTTTATTGATAAAGTATAAATATCCTACAATTTTAAATGAGCCTGGATATCTAAAACAAGATTGTCTAATTAGAAATCTTAATGACATATTTCAAACATTTTGAACAAAATATTAATCAAAAACATAGGACGAAATTTGTATTGCTTGATTAATGAAGGCCAGCCAGTTAAATGAAATTCAATAGCTTAATAATAAAATTATAAGTAATTAAAATTAATTTATCTTGCAAAAAAATTAGTAGAGGTAAGGTTAGAAAAAAAAATTAGGGTTTCATTAATAATAATTCAGTTTTATAGTATAAAGACCGAGCTGTTAGAGCGGTTCCAAGGTTTCACACTCGAATGGCTTCCCTGATTCTCATAATGAAAAAAAAAAACCAGAGAGAAGACATTAAAAACCCCGTAGCAGGCAAATTTTAAGCTAAATAGCAAGAATACGCACATATTGTAAACTTGGGGGTTGAAATTCTGATTTAGGTGGACGAGACTTTCATGATTGCAGCCTAAAAAAATTAGGGTCTCATTTACATTAATCTTGATATAATTTTTTTTATATATTTATTTATTAAAAAAACTCAGATTGGCAGATGAATCAACCGTTTAGCTCAACCGTTTTTTTAGGGCAAATCAGGTTCTTTCATAGATGATCTGAATTCAGAATTCATTTTTTTTTTTTCCATCCGTCAATACTGTTGGATGGAGAGTAATTAACTTGAAATAGATTTAAAGATCATATAAAATATAGGCAAAATACAATAATTAATACATGATTTATTAATAATGATTATTATAAAAATAGAAGACAAAATTTATAGATGGGTATAAAGTTGACTGTTGAAATTGTAAGGAAGAAAAATAGTAAACGGAGTAAAAAAATGTTTATTGAGTTTTTCGCCGTTTCGACACAAACATGAGGGTTAAAACATACTACTAAAAATAAAAACATTTTTTTTTTTTGTTACCAAAGTTTCAAACCAAGCTTTTGGGTCATGCTACCAGCACTGAAGGTCTTAAAGTATTTGGATACCTGATGATGACCCACAAGCTTGGAAGACATTCAAGATCGAAACTTTATTTATTCGTACTCATTTTACAAATGAAAAAAAGATTTAAAAAATATAAATTTAGGGGTTAACACATTTAGATAAATAAATATATTGCTTCGGATGGGATATGAAGATATTGAAGTTTTTATTTTCTTCTTTTGGCAGCGATTTTCTTTGCTTTTTAAATAACTTTAACTTGCATCCTAAAGGAATATCTCAACTGCTTAGATCATTTTTTTCTGAATTATTGAAGGAAGATAGTCGACTGTTGATTAGGTGATAAATAGTCAGGACGCAGTAATTTTAAGATATTTATCAACAATAAAAATCCTAAGACTATTTATCAGCAATTTTTTTTTCTTCTGGTTTCCACATAGCTCGCAATTTCTGGCATACATAGGAGAGGGGGGTGTTCTAGTGATACAACCAAACCCAAAAAAACTAAACTAACCAGAGTGGAAAGATTGAGATATATTCAGTGGTCAACGCTTCATTACGCTTCACCATCACCGGTATCTCTGTGCATAGTTAAAATTAGCATCCAATCACCTTATTTTTCTTATAATTATCAATTAGTTCATCTAAAAAAAATTTTAGGAAAAGTTAGATGGTCTCTTGTGGGTATCCCACTTCATAGGACACAGTAAAGGAAAAGTTCCTCTTTATCTAACAAGGAAGGAAACTGGTAAATATATATTTTTTTCTCCTTTCAGTTGACTACATCTCTCGCCAGTTTCGAGTTTCTGAGAATCTTTAACTGACTAAAGATGACTTTTTCAAACTTTTTTTCTGTTTAAAAATCAAAAACTATCTAAAAAATTTCATAAAATATCATGAATATTATTAAATCATAAGTAGTTGGGTACAAAAAGAAAAAATTATATATTAGTTTTCTATCCATAATTTTATGACAATGACTCAATACAATAGAGGTATTCACATAATTTGCGATAAATGCTTCGTGAATTATAGTACTGAACATTTGCGTTTAATCTTGAGGGTATGATAACCCGTGCTATCTTAATTAAGCGTTATTATCTATAACAGGTTAAAATCAAAACTTGGGCTTCACTTGTAGATTTTAATTTTATGGGATTTATTATTTTTTACTTATATTGGATCACTGTTAAGACATGAAGTGTGAAAATCCATAAATTTATAAGGAAACTTGAAAAAAAAATCAGCTTTTCCGCGACTATGTTAACAGATTATTATCCATCACACTTAAAACAAAAGTAGTAAACACAACATGAAAACCTTATAATAACCTTCCTTACACTTTTACAAAATTAACACCAACTTTTACAGACCCCAAGCCGTGTTAAAATCCAGTATGCTAGCGGCCATATTTAGCACGCTTATCTTAAATAAGCTTTTCGACTATAACAATAATTTGTTCCCTTAAAAATGATGTCTACTACATAACAAGCAGGAGTCAATGTTATTAACAAATAAAGACAGAGCTTGATAAAAACGTATTCAAAATTAGGGCAGAGAAAAATTATATTGATAATTATTATTTGAGTTTCATCAAACCACTTCGGTAGTTCGATCCACTTGAATAATTAAAATAATAGAAACTAATCCACGATGCTTACTCGAAAAGTCTAACTCATATTAATAAGATATATCTGACATTTATATACGGAAGCCAGGAGAGTCTTTGCAGGAGAGGCTGCAGAGATTTGAAAATTTATCAGAGTACGTGATGGAGTTGACCTGCCCCCATGCCTTAACTATTAAACAACAATTGCAAAAGTTTCGTTTTGGACCGAGGAGCGGAAATTATTAAACGTGCAAGAGGTAATTGCGGAAGTCGGGAATGAATGGTATGATAAAAACATGGATCAATGCATAGTAACAATACCTATATTGAACTATTCCAACATTCATTTAGTCATAAAAAAGAAATAGTACAAAAAAAAGGTACTAGTTCCTATTAGCTGTTCCAAGATGGCGCCTGGGTTCAAGATCGCTTTGAGAGTACTAATGATGGAATTTCAAGGAATGCCGAAAGTAACCGAGTATTGACACTCTTGGTCACATACAATGACAATAAAAGTTCTAACAACATATTTTTTACTAAAATGTACTAAAGGGTATATAAAGGAAGCACTGAGGAAGAACTGAAAAAAAAAAAATACATATCTAAAAGGAAGGCGATAAAACTGTATTTTGGATGATAAATACAATTACTGTATTTATACGATGGATGATATAATGATATTAAATATTTGTATAAAAACTACCCGTTGGTGGAACTATAATTAAATTTCTGCAT